AAGATAGGGCGTGAAAACGTACAAAATTTGAGTCACCCAAGACGTCCGCGCTCCATCATTACGCCTGGCAATATCGCTGCTGTTCGCGAACTCATTCAAAGAGATCGTCGCTTGACCGTGGCAGAAAAAAGTAAAAAAATGGAAATCAGTGTTGGGAGTGTACACAGCATTATCCGAGACCAACTTAAACTCAAGATGGGTGCCACATTTGCTTACCCAAGAAAACATAAACGCGAAAGTTGATGTTTGTCAGGCTCGGTTTCACAATGATGGGAGGCATTTTTGCATTATATTGTAACGTGCGATAAAACTTGGGTTCACCACTTCACTCCCGAGTCGAAGTCGAATGGGTGAACAAAGAGAAAACCAGAACTCGCTTCTCAGCTGAGAAGGTGATGTTAACAGTTTTTGGGACTCTTAAAGAGTTTTGCTCCTCGATTTTCTGAAAAATTGTCGATAAAAATGCCCTATATTACACTGACATTTTGGACAAGGTTCGAGCTGCCTACCGGTCAAAAAGACGCCGGCGGCCAATCCGAGATGTCCTGCTTCTGCATGACATTGCAACACCCCACGATGCAGGTCTAACGGTCCAGAAATTAGTGAAAATGCACTGGACTAAACTCGACCACCCTCTCTACAGCCCTGATCTTTCACCAGGCGATTTTTATTTATTTGGACCTTTAAAGGAAGCACTTGGTAGAGAGCGTTTTGCGGACGATCAACATGTCGAACGGTTTGTGTGCAATTGGTTGGATACTCGCCCGAAACCATTCTTCGAAAATGACATGAAAAAACTACCTGTTCGGTGGAGAAAATGTATAAATAAAAAAGGGAACTGTGCAGAAAAATAACCACCAAGTGTATTTTATTGTTAAAGTAATACATAACTTTTTTTGACAAAGGCTCGTTTATATTTGAATAATCCTCGTATATGAAATTTAGGTTTGCTATATTTCAAACGTACTACTTGAATTTGTGTTATAAATCATGCATACCATCACTTCCAAAACCGTCCACAACTTGTTGTATAAGGGATTTAACTCAAGAAAGCTAGTTATCGATGCTTATGAAGTCAGGTGGGTCGGTCTGAAGGGCTGAGTGGTTTTGAACTCATGAGCGGACAATGTTGTTGAAAAGTCAATGCGCTTTTCGGAAAAAGGCATCGTTCAGTAGCTTGATACAGCTTCAAGGACAATCTGTCGGCAGACCTCAGCTGATAGTTCAATACGTTTTTTACAAAAGTGCAATTCAGCAACCTCATCATAGAAAGCGCCCCACCAAAGTATTACTGATGCTGGATATTCTGTCTATTGAGTTTTTCCTGGACAGTGAAGATTTGTAATGCATACAGGGAATCCTTCTATGAAGATTGTCTGCGTATCAGGAATAGATTCGAGTTTTGTGTCCTACGATAAGACCTGTAGTCAGCAAGGGAGAGGGGGGCCCATGTTTATAAAAGAGTTTGATCAAAATTCGTGATTCGTAAATTATTATTATGTATTAACAATTAAATACAATAATACAATTATTCACAAAAGTCCGGCCGTAATCTTTTTTTGAGTGAGCGACTTCAGTCTATCACTGTCCAAAGATAGTGGTAAGATGTGTTATGTATTAACAATTAAATACAATAATACGATTATTCCCAATACGGTAAAGGGTAATTAATTACTGCAGGATACTAATTTTCAGCTAGCACTGCGGATTTATGTCAGTGGTTTTTGCAAAAAGAGACTGCAGATCCAATTTTTTTCCATTTGGTATTACTTACAAACTAATGTTTTTTCATAAGGGACGATATTTTGAATTTTCAAAATACTACGGATGTGACGGAAATCCGCATGTCCGAATTCAACAACGATTTTCGGTAAATGTGTGTCAGACCGTCCAGTCTATCTGCGCCTCTAAATATGGAGACGTATTTGACATCCTTATTAGAAGGAACTCTGCCAATGTACTTGAGGATATACCGTTGCAAGTATGTGGTCGTATATGTTTTTGCTACATGATGGTGTATTCCTCCACATTGAAAAACTAGTGCGTAAGCCTTTAGACGAGCTGTTTCCTCTACACTGGATTGGACTACGAGTCCTTAACCTTTACATGGGATTGTATGAAACAGCGTGTATTATCGAACGTCATAAATAATTTTGATATACGTCTTGAAGCCTGTCTTCTAAGTGACGGTTCTAATTTCGAAAAATTTTTGTTGTGTACGTATGTGTGTATATTCACGTGTCTCTGGAACCTACTCGTTAATTTGTAACCATTATGTTCTTGTTTATGTTTACTTCAGGCGTTGGACAACCGCCGTTGTTTAGTTTACAGTCTACACATGTACAACTCCTCAGTTATCGCTGTAAGTCCAAGAATATTTTCGAACTTCATTATTTCGCTATACTCCACCCCATCTGAACAAAATCCTTCGGTTATTCCCCTCCTCCTCCCCTAAATGTCTCGATCATCGCCTCAGACGATCTCAATGTCAAACACGCCTCCGGGGGCTGCGTACAGACCATCAGATCATCTCCCTTCTTGCTTGTTCTCGACTTCAATATTACGGTTGATACCCCCCAGACTATACGTACCTCCCCACCCCCATAATCAATTTCCTGACATTATTGACATCTACGTTTCAAACAATGCCACTTTTTCCGCTGATTCCACTCTTCTCGACGCTCTATGCTCCGACCAACTTCCAATCCTAATCGAAGTCCGCCCCCAAGCCCTCTACCCACCAAACCTAACAACCTCGCCAGGCTGGCTATGTCTTCACTACACTCTCGAAATATCCTCCTCGAAGTGCACTTCAATCTGCATAATAGCAGAACTCGACGAAGCTGTCAATCTTCTTCCAAGCGACATTACCAGCGCCATCGAGCTTTCCACAACCTTCCGCCTCTCCTCCTCCCCAGAAAAATCCCTGCGGCACATTTGTTGAAGCTTTTCTGCGCAGATTCATCGTCCCATCCCTCGATCCTCACAACCCTTTACTGGAATACATGGAGACTCTCCATTAACAAGACCAAGTCGGAAGTACGAAAACCACCCTATCACCGTCAACAACCACCCCATTAAATTAAATAATCAGGAAACTCACTTGGCGGAAACACATCCTATCCACACGTCCCAAGGCCTTAGACGCTTTAATCTCCGACAAACCCTTTTTCCAAAACAACTTCATCTCCCATCAAATCAAAATCCGTATGTTCAACACAATGAGGAGCATCTGCCTTTACGTCTTTCCCATCTGAGGCTGCGCCCTTCTCCACCACCTACAAATCCTCGAAGGCTCCTACACGCGGGTCCTTTCTTTTGCGCTTGACTACCCTTGGTTCGTCAGAAACGTCTAAATTCTCAAATAAATTAGTTAACTTTACTTCCCGAGGCCGCAATTATCTCCCGTCCCGTCCATCTCGACACTTTCCGACTACGTCCTCAAATCAAACGAACGTTTCAAAAGGCCCTGCCACCTTCTACTCTGAGCTGCTCTCTTTTCGCTCACTACTAGTTTCGCCTTTTTTAACGTGAGTACCCCCCCAACTAATTCAAGGTGGACCACCGATTCACATTGCACCTCGTTTCCGCCCCAAAAGCTTTCTTTCCTACACTGAATTCCCCTTCCCGCTTCCAACCTCTTCCCACAAAACCTTCCCCGGGACGATTAACCTCCTGATTGATCTCCCTACTCGAGCAGGGGTTTTACTTGGTGGACGCTTCGGTGAATCCAACACTTCAGGGGCTGTCCTTTGAAGATTTCTCTCGAGGATAAACTAACAATAAACGTTTTTCGTATTATAAGGTGATTTAATTAATTAAATAGTAGTTTAAAATAATTCGAAGTGGTCTGCATTCTGTCGAAAATGCCAGACGCGGATCGCGATTTCGAACCTTTTCGATCTTATCAGCGCGTCGCAGGCAGCTCCGACAACTTTTTACCTGCTGTCTTAACAGTGCGTTTTAGAAAATATCACAAATGGCGCAGTAAACGCCATCTGTAGCACGATGCTGCATTTTAGGATTACGTATGCTCCAACAGGGTCCACTTGTGTGGATATCTACTTGCTGAAAACGAATCCCGGCATAGCTAACGACTTCGTGATAGGCACGTTAGCTTAATAGAATAAAATAATTCGAAGTAGTCTGGATTCGTTTTCAGCAAGTAGATATATACACAAATGGACCTTGTTGGAGCATACGTAATCCTAAAATGTAGCATTGTGCTACAGATGGCGTTTACTGTGCCATTTGTGGTATTTTCTAAATATTAGTTATTCGTTAGTTGGTGAAATCGTTAATAGTTCACTTCGAAGTGATTGTGATCATTAATCGAGGAATGGACATTCTCAGACAATAATCGTGTGAAAGTGAAAAGCATTTGGATTAAGTGTTCATTATCGAGGTTAGACAATTCCTTAGTCGATGGACATTAAAATTCAAGAGTAACTACCTCACACTTTCTAATAAGAGTCCGGTTTCTCATTAAAATTGCCCTGGTGCCCAGAAGTAACAACGACAAGAACATCTAATTATTGTTTGTTATCAAATCATCCAACAAATATATATACATTTAAGTACACTTAGTTTACCAAGAATGCGTTACGTAAAGTTCTCTGATAATATTTATATAGGTATGGAAAAATAAACGATAGAAACTTGATAGACAGTTGTTTATGGAAACATTCACTGGATGTTTTTGTGATTCTTACATTCTTTTTAAAAAGAAAGATGTTCTTGTAGATAAGATGGAAAAAAGTGGTTGAAATCATTAAATCATAACATTAGGTTGGATTTAAAGCATAAAGGTGCATGCATATTTGTTGGTACAGCACCATAGGAAAGATAAAAACATAAAAATTTGTCAATTAAAGCCTTTAATGCTTGTCAAAAGAAGTAATTAATATTTCTACTATTCTGTTCCCAAATGAATCTATAAAACGAATGATTAAATAGGCATAATAATAATAAACTGATGTATCAAATGTTTCAATCAAATATTTAAACAGGAAAAGAGCATCTATTTATATTTTTAAGAAGTAAATAGCCTCAATTAATGACATATGCCAAGAAACTAATTAAAAGTAATACTATGGTACATTGTGAAACAGAATTTGAACTTGAAACTCCATAAATAAGCACTTCATCTGTATTTCGCCAGACAATAGCGTAATAGTTGGAGTAGTATGAAATTACATCATAGTTAATCACCACGTTCCAACGATATCTAGGCTGGTAGCTTTGCATGTTCCTTTGGATGGTTTGGCATGTGCCTAGTTTGCCAGACGACGATGAATATGCTTCGTTCACGTATGATAGGACCCTGGTTTGCATGGCAGTTGGCATGTTCGATCTGTACACCGTTGCTGCTCTTGTCTGTAAGAAGTAATTCCCTTTACAATTTAGTTATAAGATAAAAACAATATCAATGTATCGGTTTCTTTGATATACAATAATAGAACATGGATATTAAAGATTTAATAAAATAATTGTTAACAAGTCGTTTTAAAATTATGTTTCTTTATAACACAAAAAAGTAAAAAATAATTGATAAAGCTTCAAACCAAATGTGACCACCGGTTGCATTTATCAATTTTAATGTAGTGAATATAATGTATAAAGGCTTGACGGGAATAGTTGAGCTTTACGCAAATGAGTTTAACGTCTTATAACCTACTAATCTTTTTCTATAACTAGATATCTTTCGATAACATTGATACAATAATAACAATGTGCAATAAACTAACAAAGAAGTTTATAATGGTTAGTATTCTATCGAATCGCATTTTCGATCTTACGACATCTCTCAGTGCATCGCCGACAGTTTCAACAAAACACAAATCAACTCTGTCTGCTACCTTGACACAGCGTTCTGTAAAATCCTATAGACGCCATGTGTAGTGCAATGCTACAGTTAGTGGAATTCAATATGTTCAACAAAATCCAACTACATAGACGGATATCTATTTGCTAAACCTGAACTAAATCCACGGCGTTTTCCGTCCCATTTGTAGAATTTCATAGAACGCTGTGTCAAGGTAGCAGATAGTGTTGGTCTGCGTTCTTTGAAATTGAGATCTAACTAGATCAAATTTGCAATCCGTGTCTGGCAGTTTCGATAGAATACTGACCACCATAACCCTCTTTATTCAGTTTTTGTAACGTGCCTATCACTTATGGTTAGCTACGTCGTAGATTCAGTTTAGCAGTTTATGTAAATGAACCTTGTTGAACATACTGAATTCCAGTAACTATAGCATTGTACTACATTTCATTTCATGTGTAGTAAAGTTCATTATACTAATATTCCACATCTTACAAATTCTCTAAAATCTCTGTTACAATTTTTTGGTTCCTTTGAAAATAAACACTAGGATATGAAATGTGAGAAGAATGGACATGTAGAGGTATGTAGAATTTATGAAGGCCTTGCTGTGGGAGTACTAGCAGAGGGAACTGTATGCCAGAATATGTGAAGAAAATGAATGATATGGACATTACATCCACTATAGGTTTAGAGTGGGAAATGAAAACGGATGGTCTAAAACGTCTTTAAAGCATGCGATACGACGATTTATGTCCTTTTGAGAAGCCTATCTCTAACCGTTTCTAAGCGGTGTTCTTAATTTGGGTTTTGAAGATTAATTTTTTTGTATTTGTAACTTTATGGCTGTTTTGTAGGGTAAGGATATTTTTTTGATGATTTATTTTTGTTGTATCTATTAGTATAAGATTCCAGATGGGAAGAAGGGTTGAATTCACAAAAGATTAGAACCGTAACTCACTTCAAACGGTTAGAGATGTAACTTTGAATAAATCTGCGCGAATTGAAAGAATACACACTAGACTTGAACAAGACAGAAACAGTTTGAATTTTAACATGGCGCATACAGGTAAAGGGAAGGGGCACATCTCCAACCGTTTGAAATGAGTTGTATAGGCGAGTCAGAGTAATTAGAAGTGCGTTAGGATACTGAAATTGGTGATGGGAGGTGCATGTTCGCCAGCTGCCTGTACTATACAGTCTTCATTCAAAATAATATTTACGTGTTCTAACGTCATTCCTACATTTCATCGCTATAAATACAAAAATAGTTTAACAATATTAAATTATTTAGTTGATCTTATAAATAACCGTTAAATGATTGTTTCAATTAATTAGTCAAAATTAATTGTAGTAACTGTATTCTATTACTCTAAATAAAATAGAAATATGAAAATTTCTCTTACAATATGTACTCGTTCCTTTTATTTGTTATTCAGTTTAATGATATTAATTTGTAAACATTCTTATTCAAACGAATTAGCCTTTAAGATAATTTCAATGCACTAAAATCGGAAGGGGAAATCACTTCATGCTTTTCCTTACAATATTATTTCAGAATACTTACGTCTCTATGTTCATCAGTTAGCATCTGCTTGTTCAATTGAGAACCTTCGCTTTCCATATAAACAACTTCAGGATCTTTTTCGTCAACTTGAAATGAAGTTACTAGCCAGCATTCCAGAGCAAAGAAAAAAAAATAGACTAAAAGCCTGGAGCACATTTCGAATTTCGGAAAAACAAATTATTCGGCACAAATAAAAGTACTTTTGTACACTTCTAATTAATCTTTTGAAATTAAACGCGAGTCCCAATGTTGAAATATGAAAAGTTGAAGTGAAGCCTAATATTTATAATAGATATTAGAGTTAGATATGTATATCTAGGTGTAGCCTTCACTATATGATAAGCTAGAGCTCCATGGATAAATTCGTAGAAGTTATTGGTTTCGTAGCTAATAGGAAATGCTTTTTTTGCTGATATTGAAGTGTTTTCTAAACGGATTTTAAATTAATTTATCTATATGTTAATAATAATTGATTATAACGTTAACTTGAAAGGTTCGCGCAATATAATTTCTGCAATTTTGCTTAAACAGGTGTATTTGTAAATATTAATGTGAAAATTAATTTTCAATTTTTTACCTACTATAAATTATCTCAAGCTAGAGAGGAAAAATTTATTGCTGTTGTCACACCCTTGCCGGGAATCGAACCCGGAATCTGTGACTTTAAGCACCAATGCTGTGATTACAGCAGCAACAACGTCAAATCGTACTTTCGAATTAATGTGTATATACCAATACTATATGAAACACTAACATTTAATAGCGATTTATATCAAATATTAGAACTGTGATCTAATAAGTACGGTTTGTCGTCGTTTCTGTTGTCATCTTTCGTAGCTTAGTAGTCAGAGAATTAGTGTGTAAAGTCAAAGGTCTCGGGTTCGATTCCCGGCGAGGGTGCGACTACAGAAACAAATTTTTCTTCATAAACTTGATGTAATTTATAGTGGATAAAAAACTAAAAATGAAATATCACTATTAAATGTTAACGTCTTTCGTATGGTATAGGTATGTTTGAAACAGATTGACTCTTCATACCAGAGGTTGTTGAAATGGTAGTTGGGACAATTATCAGTTATGCCGAATACAAGAATTACACTGATTTTCAGATATTTCTTCTCTTCCTTTGCGAACCTAAATCAATAGCCCACGTCTAAAAATAAATTTACCTTAAATATTATTGTAAATATTAGTGTAAACGAGGTATCCATCTACGGTTGGTCCAAAACTGTCACAGCTACTCTTGAAAATTTTCTAAAATTTAATAAATAATCTAATCAACATTTAGTAGAAATAACCATTATATTCTGAATTAAATCAATAAATATATTCATTATAAAATAACAAAACATATGGAAGTCTTAAATCAGTAAATTAATAAGGAATTTCCATAATGGGATGAATACCACAAAAACGTACCAGAATAAGGCACACCAGAGGAAATGGAAATTCGGGGCAAGTGGAATTCAGCTCAACAAAATAAGTTCCGATTTTTCTGTTTGAGTGTCACCTCTTGAAATCGATTGATACTACCTTCTCAAACGTCGCGAAATATTACAGCATCAATTCGATACTTGAATTTGTCAATTTAATGCAATTAATTTTTGATAAATTGGTAAAGGCTTTCGCAGTTAGTAAATGAACTGACGCTGTTCTGATTCGGATCTAAAGAACGTCGTGTGTTGAAGCAACTTCAGCACACGACGACCTTCAGACCCGAATCAGAACAGCATCAGTTCAATTAATTTTTGATTATTATTAATATTTACGTTAAGCATAGGAAGACAAATGAAAAAAAAGCTCAGGAGCCACTATACCGAAGCAAAGAACCAAAAGATAACCAAAAAGGAATTTACCTCAGGATACTCAGTCAGTCAGAGGTTCCTGGATTCTCCTAATTAGAAGAGAGCTCGAAACTCTTTAACAATAATAAAACAACAATGTAAAATGTACCAAGAAAGGTTTATTTAAAACAACTCTTTTTGTTTATGTAATATACAAGGGGGCCCAAGAAACTAACTTACGACACCTTATGAATCGTTGGCAGGTTCTTATCTGCGTCCATCTGTCCAAGGAGATCCTTTACTGATGAATGTAATTGATGTTTATTCGAATGGCAATCCAAGGATTCCAGGTGAGGCACTTGGCACTTCAAAGAGAGAGTTTTGCTGGAAGGTATACACTACATAGTCTAGCAAACAGGGTAAGTAATGTGCCCTGTCTTTAGCGCAGTTAACTTAATAATGAAATTATCTGTTCAAGTCAACCAACACACTGTAAGAATATCTTCTCAAAACTTCACCCCGAGGACTCTGAAAAGAAGATAATGATTCTCTTCGAGCCTCTGAATTAAAATTTTTCCTAAGGTCAAATAAAAACAATATGTGAGTGAGCAATTTAAATGACTGTCGTAACGTTCTCGTTCGATTTAAATCTGTTATATTTTTTTGTCCGCCGCCATCGAGCATTATTATTCATATTTTAAGTTCTTTAAAAGCGCTAACTGGGTAACTAATGTTCCATTGCACAATTTTATAATATCTTACCTACTATCCCTAAAGAACAAATTATTAATTATTATTACAACCAGTAAACTTTATTTGGGTTACACCTACCCCGCACAAATGTCGCTCCAGGGTAAATAGACCTAGCATGAGTTTCATATGCCCCTTAATAGATCCCATTTGCCTCTTATTTTATTAGTTCATTCGCTGGCAATAAAACTGCAATTCATGCATAATATATTCTGTAATGTCGGCAACATTAAACTTGTATAAATAGAGCTACAAATGTTTTTAAAATTCCTTAATTTACTCTGTTTAAAAGGTTCGAAAGTCCACCGTTTTTGAGAAAAACGTATTTAAAGAAAGGTTATATCCGGCCCTGGTAGGATCACGACACTGCAACGCCGCATTCAATCATGTGATACTTAACAACATCAATGTTGGATTTCTTTTGTATGTTTATATTCTTGCATTGTTCATTATTTGTTAGATTAGATTAAAGGTGATTGACGATGTTTATGTTTACAATCAGGCTAGAGTAATTGTTTGTTTTTTAACGTTGCGGGCTTGTATTACGTACGTATGTAGACAATTGAAATCATTAGAAGTAGGTCAATGTATCAATATCATAGGTTAGTGTAGAATAACATTATTGCATTGACCACTGCGTGAGCTTCTGAACGAACATTTTCCTAGACGCCGGAGTGGACATGCGGGTCCTGCACCATGGCCGGAGTAGTCCTGCGTTAAATTCCTTTGAGTTCTTCGTACAAAGTTGTATAAAACAGTGCACACAATTTTTTTGTAATATACGTAATATCTCAATGGTGGTTTTAAAAGTTAATAAAAATACTATTCCCTATCCACAGGATATTTATTTAATATTTACTTATTAAAGTTTGCATAACGTTACATTTTTTCTTTCTTTTGTGTTCGAAATACCTTGTCGCGATGTACTTTAAATAGTACTGCATACTATCAACGATTTACTCACCATGTGATTCCCTACTGCATCAAATTAACACCATTAAAAGCTTACTACTTATTGCAGAAACACTCTGTAGAAATGAATAAGAAGTTGTTGATCAACTTTACACTTGTGTATAGCATACTTCCATTACCACACTTAATCATAAAATAGCGTCAGCATCTGCCTTCAGGTATTACGAATGTTAGTATTATAAAGTTCTTTCGAATTAATGTGTATATACCAATACTATATGAAACACTAACATTTAATAGCGATTTATATCAAATATTAGAACTGTGATCTAATAAGTACGGTTTGTCGTCGTTTCTGTTGTCATCTTTCGTAGCTTAGTAGTCAGAGAATTAGTGTGTAAAGTCANATAAGTATATCCGATTATTTTTGGTAAATTCTGTGCCTTTTCTATGCACCTTTTTCGGGGTCGGTATAAACTAGAATTGTACCCTTCGCGTTCTCATTATTTTTTTATATACTTTTTGGATCTTCTGCGAGAAAAAAACATACAGTGACAGAATGTTAAATTTATTTTGCTTTTCTTTTTTTTTAAATTTCTAATTCCAATTAATTGATATCCGACTAATTTTAGAAATGTAATGTAGTCTCACAAGTAAATGTTAAAGCGAGAGCTAAGAAAAGTTTGTACATTTGTACATTTTTCTAACTTAAATTTAGTTGTTTTGACTCGAACCTTCAGTTGATATGACGAAAAAAGTTTTAGAAAAATAATTGTGAATTCATTTATATTTCTTTCTTTTTCTTTTGTCGTTAATGCATATTGAGAATTCAGAGAAGTTTTTTTCTGTTTGCTGTTATTATTTTTGACGGGATATAATAAGTAGGTAAATGAACAGTTCAGTTAATGGTATATGCCAATAAGTTAATTAAGACTAGCACTGAGATATATCTGATTGTGAAAACATCCTTGTTGGAACCAGAACCTGATCCATAGATAAGCAGATAATCGGAATTTTGATTGACAATACAGTAGTAATTGCTGTAATACGAAGCTGCAGCATAGTTAATCACCACGTTCCAACGATACCTGGGCTGATTGGAGTTCATGTAACGTTGAAGAAGATCAGATATTACTACTCTGTCGGGCGACAATAAATACGATGCATTAACGTAGGATAAAACTTGAGTTCGCATTGCATTTGGCATGTCGGTTTTATAAATTGTTGGCGCTCTCATCTAAAATAAAAATTTTCTTTCAAAATTGTTACAAGCCAAAGTACTGGTACGTATATGTAGGCAACCCAACATATATACTGGCAAAGAAGACCAGGTTTCTAGACGGCATATACTGGAACATTCTGGAACACAGTCAGCCTCTATAAATAGTTGTCGGGAAATCGAACACAACTAGTTAATACAAGTACGAATTCGAGGCGATATAAAGCGAAGAAGAAAGAGCAAAGAAGTGACAAACTGTTCATATAGTGGTGAATTGTTAACTAATTAATAACATTTAAGCGATTAGTTAAATAAAGGTATAAATATGTGACAATACAATATTCACTTAATGGGTGTAACGTAACATAAAAATGCAATTGTCAGGGGCGGATCGTGAATTTGTGTCGACTCTCAAAAGTGGGCTGAGTTATGAGATTCGAATCATTAAGATGAGTCGATCTGCTCACTACTATTGTCAGTGCTAATAAATATATGTTACGGTAAAAGTAATAAACTGGTGATTACATATAATAACCGGTAATTATGCATAATCACCACTAAATTCGGTAAATATGATCAATTTCTGAAAATTTATAAAACTAATACGAGGGTGGATTGATAAGTTTCCGGCCTGACCAAGAAAAACAAGGTTTTTAAAAATTTTTTTTTTTTATTTCTCAACATAATCTCCTCCAAGGCTGATACATTTCTCATAGCGGTGTTCCAGTCTATTAATGCCATCTCTATAGACTGATTCGTCAAGCTCCTCAAAATAACCATTTACAGCTTCGATTACTTCTTCATTGTCCGCAAATCTCTTACCGCCAAGCCATTTTTTGAGATTAGGGAACAGAAAATAGTCACTCGGGGCTAGGTCTGGAGAGTAAGGAGGGTGCGGCATCAATTCAAACTTTAGATCGTTGATTTTAGCCGTCGCAACGATTGACGTGTGCGCTGGTGCGTTATCGTGATGAAACAAGATTTTTTTCTTCGCCAGATGAGGTCGTTTAATTTTCACCTCGTGGCTCAAACGTTGCAATAAGTCTGCGTAGTATTGACCAGTGATAGTATTACCCTTTGCAAGGTAATCAATGTATATAATACCTCTTGCATCCCAAAAAACAGTAGCCATAACCTTGTTCGCCGAAAAAATTGTTTTTGCCTTCTTTGGAGTTGGTTCCCCTGGTCCAATCCACTGTTTAGACTGTTCTTTGGTTTCAGGAGTGTAGTGGTGGACCCACGTTTCGTCAACGGTTACGAATCGACGCAAAAATTCGCTTGGATTACGCTTATACAATGACAAATTTGCGGTAGAAATGTTTTTTCGAATCAATTTTTGGTCGACTGTTAGCAAACGCGGCACCCATCTTGCACAGAGCTTTTCCATATGCAAATGTTGGTGCAAAATATGTTGCACACGTTCATATGACATCTTACAGGTCTCAGCTATCTCACGCACTTTCAATCTGCGGTCTCCCAGCACTATTTGATGAATTTTTTCGATCATATCTGGAGTTGTGACCTCAACGGGGCGTCCTGAGCGAGGCCCATCAGAGGTGCTCACACGACCCTTTTTAAACTCGGAAACCCACTGCTTAACGGTTGAATATGACGGGGAGGATGTCCCCAGTGTTGAGTCCATCTCTTTTTTAATTTCCTTCGGCGTTAACCCCTTCAAATAAAAGTATTTGATGACAGCACGATTTTCCTGCTTTTCCATTTTTACGAAAACCACAGAGGCGTCTTGTTCAGCGTGCTGTCAAACCTACACTAGCAAGGAGATCGGGCTGAAACTATAGCTACAAGCTATCCAAGGATGGTACTATAGAATGTCACCTCAAGGTAGGCCTAGTGGCGTCATCTCTTGGTTAGGCCGGAAACTTATCAATCCACCCTCGTAGGTCCACGCGGACGCATCGCTCACTCAAGTAGGAGAGAGGCGGATGTCGAACGCTGCCGAACGCGGAGGCCGATTGTGCCTCTTTGTCGCTCGTTCAGCGCTCTCGCTTGCACTTCAAGCCTTAAATGGAACGCCTCAGAGCGTGGTAACGCCGCATGAGTCATGTTTTTTCGTGCGTGCAGCCGGCTCCATCGAATTATAAGACGTTGTCACGTCAAAAATTCTGACAAACTCAGTAAAAATGCATTCTCATTATACTTTGACAAAAAAATGAAATTAGACATCATCAGGAAAGCAACACAACTGTTTAAGTAGGGAGTAGACAGCAAAGACCAATAGCATTTACTCAGTTTAAGTTTAGCCAGTTATAATGAGAAATAGAAACAATAACCTAGAATGCACCTATCCTTTCAATTAAAAAAATATTTGAGCAAATCGCCCACGAAATCTCAGTGGTACACACGTTGACTTGATTTATTAAGGAGACGAAGCGCAAGTGAATAAAACTTTTATGAGATTAAAAATAAAATAAAAATTACATTCTGAAAAAAAATATATAAGCATTATGAGTATACGATCGTGAAATGCTTACGTTTCTTAAATCATCGGTTAGTGTCGGCTGAGATCCATTGCTATTTCTGAAGACAGCTTCAGGAATTCTATCTTCTACCAACGATGCAGTTACTAATTCTAGTAACACGAAGAATAAAAAAATGGGCCACAGTTTACAACTCATTGTGTACTTAACGCAGCTAAATTTACTTAATAAAAATGAAATTACTTTTGTAATATCTATTGAACTGAATGGGTGCTTTAGGTGTTTATAAATGAAAATATTTTTAGTATTAAATATATCTAAGTACACGGCCTTCACTTTCTGATAAACTAAAATTTTATCGGCAGATTCGTAAAAATTTTAACTTGTGTACCTATGTAAATAGTGAAACATGATTTCTGCGAGAATTGCTGATATTAATACATTTTTTATTTGTTCATTATTATTTTATATCGATTAATCTATCTGCTGTTATCAATTGATGATAACGGTTTTCAAATTGGTTATAATGCACCTTATAAGCGGCTGTGTACTGCAGGGTAATTACATTTTTTTAATTGTAATTGATATTTTCATCACCATCATAAGGTCGTCAGTCCTAAGACTGGTTGGACACGTACCTCCACTCTTTCCTATCCTGAGCTAAACTTCGCATTTCCCTAAAACTTGAACAACCCACATTCTTAACTATTTGCGAACAGTAATCCAACCTAACTCCTAACCCCTGCTAACTCCTGTTTCTTCCTCTAATATGTCTCTGACTAGACCTTCATGCCTGAGAAGGTGTCCTACCAACCTATCTCGCCTATTTCTTACTGACTTCCGTAGAGTCCTCTGTTCTCATATGCTTTCTAATACCTCTTCATTTCTAACCTTTTCAATCCACGTCATCCTCATCATTCGCCTATAACACCACATTTCGAAGGCTTCTAACCTTTTCTTTTCCGCCGCGCCCACTGTCCATGTTTCACACCCGTACAACGCCGCGCTCCAAACATACACCTCTAACAACCTTTTTCGAATTTCTAAATTAACCATTCGCGAGCATAGAAGTGACTTCTTTTTATTAAAGGCGACACGACCATGCGTTATTCTCTGCTTTATATCGCTACTACTCCTTCTATCCGAGATATCTAAAACCAGCCACTTCTTCTAATATTTCGTCTTCTATCTTAATATACGCTCTTTCCCTACTTTTTCTTCCCTTGCATACCAGTATTTTAGTTTTACTTTTATTTATTTTCAAACAGTACTGATCTATCAATACCACTTCCATTTTATTCAAAGCTGTCTCTAGGTCCTCCTTGCTAGATGCTAATACTGCTATATCATCTGCAAATCTAAGCATACTAATCTTTTGCCCTTGCACATCTATCCCTACAGTTGTACTGTCTTTAATTATGTTGATGGCGTCTTCGATGTATAGATTAAAAAGTAGCGGTGACAGTGTGCATCCCTGTCTGACTCCCTTCCTAATATTTACTTCTCTACGTTGCAGCCCTAGCTCTATAACTGCCTGTTGCTCTTTATACAAACTGAGTATCACTCTTCTATCTTTGTAACTCATCCCTACATTTATTAAGGATGTTTAACATCTTGTCCCATTTAACATTGTCAAACGCTAGAATGGCCTCCCGCGTTCCTCTGTTTCTTCTAAACCCAAATTGATCTTCCCCTAATAGTTCTTCCGCCCTTTTTTCCAACCGTCCCTCTAGGAACCGGTGATATTTTGTAGTAATAACCAGGTGTCGTTATTTGCGATATGCACGACATGCAAATAAGGCAAAATGTTTACCGAGCGTATAAATACTTAGTACATTTGTTTGTCGGTACTCTTCCTTTTTATGTGTGACACTAGCAAAAATATTGAAGGTGAATATGTTACGTCTATCCGAAAAGCAACCTGCACTGTCCTACACTAATAACCGAACCTTTTTTTGAAAAAAGAAAAATATTTAAATTGCATTTACCGTGCCTTTTTTTTGATAGGGTGGCTGATAGTATTCATATGACTTATTTTGTACTAAGTCTATGTTTTTTAAAGATAAAGCCGCGCCTTGATAATATGAAGCACTCATTGACGCTAACTCGTGTACTTCAATCACCGTCTAAAAAGCATCATCAAATTAAATTAAATTAGCATTTGTACAATTAATTTGGTGTAAATGGTATTCATTGAACCATACACGAAGACACGCATGGTTTATGATGGTGTTCATTCTTTAACTTATTTTTTTGTTGGTTTACCTTATAGACTTGTTAATTTGTTCTCATTTACGGTCTAATTCCTTCAGTCTCTTACGTAATAATTACGGATAACATCTTAAATGTCGATACGCCCTAGAGTAGAAAATAATATTTCAAAAATACTCATTGTTTCACAAACAGTTTTACAGAAATGCTACATGGAAGTCATTTGGTGACCTTGAATGTAACTTTACTCTTCTTTTTCGAAGTTATTTGAAGCTCAAGCCATTTTTTAATGGGAATATATATATATTTAATTTCAGCAATGGAAAGATAAAATTTTATAATTTTTACATCGAAAGCAAGAACAAACTGGAATACTTCTATGAATAACCTGGGAATGAAAACGAGAAAAACAAAACAACCAGCGTTGAACAAAAAGATTTGTAACTAAAGTACAAATTAAGATAAGGACTGAACAGCTACTCATGGATAGAATATGAACCAAGAACTCCTAAAGTAAGCATAAATAACAACAACTTACTACTTAATTATCGACATTGCCAGTTTCTCTCAATCCCTGTACCACGTTTAAGATGGTTTTCCGATGAAGAAGTCCTCGATGGGGATATCCATGATCGTACAATTCGATTGTTGCATAGACATTGTATTAGCATTAGTTGAATATCAGTATCAAATCACAAAGTTTTGCCTTACTAAACACCATTGTTAATAACTACTGTTCTAAACTGACCCATGACAGTAGCACACTGTCCTACTGTCAATGACTTCGACTAACTACATGCATACGTAAAAGTCTAAAACATTAAAACAATAAAGAACTACTACAGGCTAGTGTAACATAAATATTCGCAATCACAAGCAGTCTAATTTACTAAATAACGAATAATGCAGAAAATATCAATGGCGGTAAATGCCATCTGTAGTACGATGCTACATTTTAGGATTATGTATGCCAAAGGTCCATTTAATAATATATCGATATCTACTTGCTGAAACGAATCTCGGCGTAGCCAACCTCAACGTGATAGGCACGTTAGCTTAATTGAATAAAATAATTCGAAGTGGTCTGTATTCATACAAATTATTATTATTGGAGCATACGTAATCCTAAAATGTAGAATCGTACTACAGATGACGTTTACCGCGCCATTTGTGGTATTATCTAAAACGCGCTGTTAAGACAACAGGTAAAAGTTGGCCTGTGTTCTGTCGAAGCTGTCTGCGACGCGCTGATGAGATCCAAAAAGACCGAAATCGCGATTCGCGTCTGGCAGTTTCGGCAGAATACAGACCACTTCGAATTATTTTATTTGAATAATGCAGGAATACAAAATAAATACAACTGGGATGCTGCTAATTTGAATGAAACATTGCGATGTCGCATTTCTCCACATGTGTTAGGATTTGCAATTGGGGGGGGGGGTCAGTAAAAAATTAGAATGTTGCCTTTTATCTCAAATATACGTATACATTATATATACGAAGGGCATTAAAATATAACCGAGCCTCCTACAGGCTTGCTACTTCATTAACACCATGGATATTACGTCAAAGTATAAGTATATCCGATTATTTTTGGTAAATTCTGTGCCTTTTCTATGCACCTTTTTCGGGGTCGGTATAAACTAGAATTGTACCCTTCGCGTTCTCATTATTTTTTTATATACTTTTTGGATCTTCTGCGAGAAAAAAACATACAGTGACAGAATGTTAAATTTATTTTGCTTTTCCCCAAATGCGAATATACGTAATCATTGTTTTCTCTGCTTTAGGGGTAGACAGCAAAAGCTCCTCAAAACCCTACTTGAATATACACGTTTAATTTATTCGAAGGACTTGTGATTAACTGTAAGGATAGTAGGTCAAATTGTATGTGGGGTGATTAGGTTTGTTAATGGTAGGTGCAGAATTTGTAACGGATAGGTGAATTGAAAATGACACCCTTATTTCTGTTAAGCAATTTAATCTTGTTTTTCATTTTACAATAATTTATAATTGTTTATTGATACAATTATATTCCTGGATATATACAGATGTAGGTGTGCTCAAAAGAAATAGAATGGTAAGTACTTTTTATAATGCTATTTTCGTTAACAAAAATAAGTGACACTATCTTAAAAGCAAATCGTTAAATATTACTCACGTTACGTATGTAAGAAATAAAAGAACTAATTAAAATTTAGAGTTATTTACATTTAAATTCAATAGAAATATCTTAACCTTTTCATTTTCTTCTTATACTTTTATACTTTGTTTAATGTAAACTTCTATCCAATATGGGTAAAGATGAGTACAGAACCTCGCTTTTTTTTTCTTTGAAATCTTGCTCCGAAACCACACCTGAGTATTAACATTCCAAAAGTATTTTTAATTTGCAAATTGCTTTAATCTATCAATACTCCATATTCCTTTGTCAAATTGCCTTACTTCATTTCTTTGTTCCTTCCATTTGCACGATCTTTTACATATTTTTTCAAATAAATTCGTAGAAAAGCATTGACAGCTTTCAGTGCTATATTGTTTTCATTTACATGTCTGCAAACCGCTCAGTAATATATTCCATGCTTCGAACTGTTGGTGTGGTTTAATCTGATGGATACTTATTTTCTTCTGAATCAAGCACGCAGTAAGTTTGGCTTTTAGATTATGAAACTGTGGGACATGAACACGTCTTATTCCTAAATCTTCTGACACAATTCCTGTTAAGAATACATCTTCCAATTTAAAGAACGGATGCATTAGACTCGCTGTGAATAACTCAACGGAGAGCCTGGTAGGAAACAAGTATGCTGGCCCTGTGGCGAAGTCTGGATACACTTCTGGTTTGAATTCTTCATATGAAACATAATATTTTGATTCCAAATTACGAAATGGTTTATAATTTCTTCCCAACATTCCATAGATCACTCTCCCTTTAGGGTTTAAATTGAATATTAAATCTAGTACGTTGGGTACGTTTATGAACATGTCGTCATCGGCTTTTAAAATAAAGTTGGCATTTAGGCAATAAGTTCTTACCCACTCTAGCATAGATACAGTCTTTAAAGTAAGGTTATAATATGAATCAATAAAATTTCCAATAATAACATCTTCGTACAAACGTTGTTCTTCTTCCACTTCAAATTTGAGTTTCGGGTCCGTAGTTGTTCCCATAAGAAAGGCTATGACTACATCTTTCCTAACGGTATAATGACCCCAAGTTAACCTTATTGCTATACGAGCATCTTTGTGGCTCAGAGCTGATGTAATAATTATCAATAATTTAATGCTTCCTTTCTTCTTCTGACAAATATCTATACTAGAATTTGTATGACCAAGTTGATAAAATTTGAAAACAGGACCAATCATCGTAAAAGAGGTATTCTTATGATGAATCGGTGATACTCGCACTGAATGGCTTTTCTTTGCTAATTGTTTATGAGGAACCTGTTTTACTGGAGGTATCTCCTTTAGTGGTTGTTTTTGAGGAACCTTTCTAATTGAAAGCATTTTCTGTGGTGGTTGTTTCTGAGGAACCTGTTTTATTGGAGGTATCTCCTTTAGTGGTTGTTTTTGAGGAAACTTTCTAATTGAAAGCATTTTCTGTGGTGGTTGTTTCTGAGGAACCTGTTTTATTGGAGATATCGCCTTTGGTGGTTGTTTTTGAGGAACCTTTCTAATTGAAAGCATTTTCGGTGGTGGTTGTTTCTGAGGAACCTGTTTTATTGGAGGTATCTCCTTTAGTGGTTGTTTTTGAGGAAACTTTCTAATTGAAAGCATTTTCTGTGGTGGTTGTTTCTGAGGAACCTGTTTTATTGGAGGTATCTCCTTTAGTGGTTGTTTTTGAGGAACCTCTCTAATTGAAAGCATTTTCTGTGGTAGTTGTTTCTGAGAAAAATATTTAGCCCTAGGTACTATACCGGAAATTGATAAAACAACTCTTTTCTCAGTGATAGGATTAGTTTGTTGAATCGTTCTACTTTTTCTCGCTCCTTCAGATATTATACGTTGAAGCTTGGACTCCCATTTTAGTGAATGGTTATACCTCATGTATTGATCAAGTCGTTTAAATTCAGGTAAAGAAACATAAAATTGATACAAGGCGAAGTTTATCGTTAGAAGGCACATTATAGAAATGAAAGCCATTGTCCGTTTTGGAACCAGCTTAACACATGCGGTGCTGACTCCTGAAATTGAAAAAAGTACGATTTTAGAGAAAAGTTTAATTATTCTGCAATAATACACTTTATCTACTAGTGTTTAGCTTAGGTTACAACGTAGTTAGTAGTGAAGGTTATTTAAGTGTAAATTGAATCCGGTATTGACAGTTTCCTTTATTTTCTGTAACCATATAAAATTTCCGTTATTATTACCCTTAAAAAAACGATAATTCGCCGTCATCGCAATAATTTCTTTCAATTTCGCCTCCACCTTAGTCTCTTATCATCCTTTCTATCCTAATTTCTACGGTGCTAGGCCAACAAAAATTGAATTGAAGCAGCAATTGAAGTAGTTTGGAGCAATTGCCGAAGCAACAATACAGTAATTGCTATAAGGATAGTCCAAGGAATGCGCGATTCTCAACAATACCGCTTCCACCGTCTTGTCAACCATCTTACAACAGACGCAAGCGAAAACCCGAAACCAACGAACTAACGAGATTCCTCGGCTCCACAATTTCTTCCAATGTGCCCCCCCCCCCATCTTAGTCTGTCTTACTTCTATCATCTTTTCTATCTTAATTTCTCTTTCTCCTATCTGTCATCATGTTTATTCTCTTTTCGAATGTCATCTTGTAGGTACTTCTTTAGATAAGTGGAATTATCTAAATGCCTTAATTCATTATTTTCACATTTTGAACGTTACAGTATGGTTAGGAACGCTACTTTAACTGAATTCCCAAATCGTCGGGACCTTACCAACCTTAACTTATCTTACAGGGAATAAAAAAATTTGAAAAATGTACAGGACGTGTATTAAAATAAAATACCACAAATGGTAAACGCCATCTGTGGTACAGTGCTACATTTTAGGATTACGTATGCTTCAGCAAGGTCCATTTAAATATATGGATATCTACTTGCTGAAACGAATCCCGGCGTAGCTAACCACTACGTGATAGGCACGTTACCATACTCGAATAAAATAATTCGAAGTAGTCTATATTCTGTCGAAACTGTCAGACGCGGATCGCGATTTAGACATCTTATGCTGCTGTAATGTTCCGCGATTATAGATAAAAAAATATCACACTAACAATAAGAGTTGAGATACTTATTAGGGGAATGAAGTACAATAATTGATGTGGTAGGGTTTAGATGAGAAATACCAATTGCAAATTTCAAATTGCATAAAATATGCAAAACAACTGACTTCTATAATCAAGGAACAAAGCATTTTGCACACCATTTAACCCTTTTTAGATTGCTCCTCAGAATATTAAAGTTGTATGTATTAGTCTTGCTGCTATCAGCAGAATGAAAATCGTAGTTTTTAAAATAGTACAGCATTAAAGCTATAAAGTACCACGTCATCATTGTCATTTTTGAACTGATAGTAAAGTTGGCGAAAATGATATGACGCTTGTTAGTTTTATTTTGTGTTGGCAAGATAAAGGCATCGTAAAATTAATTACTTTTTATAATAGAAATGATTCACCTTATCTATTTATTTACATCCATACAGAACATCGGAAACAGCGGATATTACTTTATAAAATACGTTAAATAACAAAATATTGCAGATATGTTGTAGTAATTCTATTAGGTCCAAATAAAACCTTAAATGGCAATTCGACGTCAAGCCTTGTACTTACTAAAAAACTCCGGACAGTTTTTGAATTTGTAGTGAAGCGTAAATTTGCTTCTTTAGCATCCATTTTCATTACCAGTATAGATGATTTGTTGGGTATATATTTAGAATCACTTTATGAAAAGTAATTCGGTAAGAAACTACGATTGGGTACAACGTGCTGTCCCCGGGCGTCACAGAGGCATTCTTCTCATGTTTTAAAAAACTTCATACTCTTGTATTCACGCAATTTACTTTTACTATAATACATATAAGTAAGTAAACGTTTTTGAAACTGCTTTTCACTATAACACATATAAGTAAACGTTTTTAAAGCTGCTTTCTATTTTGACAGTGACAAAGTCAAATTTGTTTACAGTAACTAAATAACCACTGAAGTTTGCCATATGCATTAAAGTAAATAAGCACAATATTTCTCAGCAGAATTTGAACCGTTCATACAGACCATTCTATCTTACGTTGAAGCTACAACTAATTGTAAGGTGTGTTAAAATGCCTATGAATCGTACTTACTGTGAATCGGTACTGTTAATCGTGATTTTTTTTATTATAATTATAAAAAGCCTTGAATAAATTAAGAAATGACTCATAGAACCTGTGAAGTTTTCACATTGTCCAAAAATAAATAAAAAATCAGTCTGTATAGTAAAAGGCTGTAATAGCATCACCAATAAAAGCCTTCAAGTATTTTGTATACGTAAAAAGTGTATTTCGAATATTTGAGAAAAAAGTTAGGTATCAGAGAAGTAAATTTCGGAATTGTCACTTTACTTTAGTACAGATAATTATATTTTACCAACTAAGTAGGTATTATACTTAATATTAACATTGGAAACTTAATTTATTAATTGAATCCATAAAGAAACATCAGAAATTTTGATAGAAAAAAATAAACTAACTTTCGTTCCCAAACCAAGAAAAAATGTCGTGTTTTCTGTGTGGGGTAAGGTAAAAAATAATATCCCTACAGTAATGGCAAGTTGAAAACCCCGCGCATCACATGCTATCGCCATCATCATGTTCATCATCTTTTGAAAAATACGACACGATATTAATGGGAAAATTCGTACAAATACCTTCAGCAATTATTATCAATAGGACATTTTGAATTAACCCTACAAAAATTCAAAGTGTTTCAATTATAATAATGATTATAATATCGATAATGATCATACATTAGTGCGACATATGGTGGGTCTTCATGCTGTCACCTCCTTGTAGCTTGCTAGTGCGTAAAACTAGAAGCCCGGGTTAGATTCTCCACGAAGAAGTGACAGCAGCAACAATTTTTCTTCATTAATTTTAATGCAAAAAATTAATTCATTAATACCTTCAGGCATCTTTTCCTATAAATAATAAAGTACATCTAATATAAGTCTATTAAGTGTAATTTATAGCGTTTGACGGCTTTGTTAAAAAGTCTTCGCAGACGCAGGAAATATTTTCAGATAGACATGGTTGAAAAAATATATTCCGTTCTCCAAATTATGCATTTTCGCTCATGCGACATAAAAACAAAATTCCGACAAAAATATACAATTTTGGTGTTCGGTGAATATTTTGTCTTATCTGTATAACATCATCATACGAGATACGACCAAAAAAACTGATATCATAAATCCTTCGAAAATTATTTTTGAGATTCGCTGCCGCCATTACCTTCGAAGTAGTCCCTTCTGCATATATGCACTGGACCCAACGTTTTTTCCACTGTTAGAAGATTTTGTAGATGTCCTTTCTTGAGAAAGAATCGAGTACCGCCTTCGATACTCTTTGAATTTCTTCTACGGTATCAAAAGAACGTCTTTTCACCTTGATTTTTAATTTCGGGAAGAGCCCCCATGTTACACAGAGCTAAATTGGGAGAGCATGCGGGAGTGTGGAACAACCATCATTGAATTTTTCTCCAATAGCTCTCGCCTCATAGACGTGTGACATGAGGTATTATCGTGATGCAGAACCCAACTGTTTTGACGCCAAAGTTCGAGTCTTTTGAGATTAATGCTCTCGCGTAACCGCCTCAAAACAAAACAATAAAAGCCCAAATTCACGGTCTGACCTTCTAGCACAGATTCTTTGTGTACAATTCTCATAAAGTCGAAAAAATAATGAGCATGCTCTTCATGTTGCTTCTCACCTGCCAACATTTTACCACTAACTTGATTGCTGTTTTGTTTCTAGATCATATCCATAAATCCACGTTTCGTCGCCGGTAATTACTCGAGAAAGAATGTTTACATAATTTGAATCGAGTTCCTTGAGTGCTGAGCAGACGTCAATTCTATGCTGCTTCTGATCAACAGTCAACGGACCGGGGTAAACTTTGCTGCTATGCTATGCATGTCTAATTCTTCAGTCAAAATTCGCTGACAAGTTCCATAACCGATTTCAAATTTATTGGCGTAGTGGATGTGGAAGGTCGCCCACTTCGTTCATCATCTACAAGTTCTTTCCTGCCGGCTTTAAATTGAACATACCAGTGAAAGTGCTGTGTTTTCTTCCGGGCTTTTTGGCCGTGGTCTATGGAATCTTGCTCGGAAGAAAACACAGCATCAATAGACGCCGGCCGTGAAAGCCTAAGAACTAGAGTATACCATTGAAATACCTATATTCGACTCATTGCATATTCATTAAATCATCGCCGAATGATTTTATACGTTTCAGTAGTATTTTTCCGACATTAAAACAAAATTTAATATAAGCAGGTTGATCTAATTTTTCGTTCATCTTAAAAATCGTAAGAGTGTATACGTAACACGTTACAAAAACACGCGTGAAGCAGCCTCTACTGAGTCGAGCAAGTTGAAACTTGCAACATAGACTCATAAAGCATCTACCTATCTCCACCCATCGACAGGTCCCTGTACGGCTTCACCTTTTCGTGTTATGGCGTCAGTCGGGGAACTTTTGGTTCACACCTTGTATACAATTAAGGTAAAACGTTTACCGAACATTAAAATTAAATATTTTTTGTCGGAATCTTTTGTTTTTATGTCGCATGAAAATGGGTCATAGGTAAATGTATGACATATATTTCGTCATGTCAATTGCTTCTGTCCTAAACTAACCGAACCCTCAAAATCATTTAAACTAAGAGTATCTAACAGTCCTCAAAAATTTTAAATTGTAATTATTGAACTTATAAGTCCTACTTTATTTCTTACATGAAGAAGTGACTAAAGATACTTGTACGAATCTTCTTATACCACCTCGCACTTTACAAAAGACAATGCAGTCGCTTACAGGTGATTGCATTTAATAGAATATCCCTATGCTCGCTTCTGAAGTTTCCACTACCTTCACAAACATATATATGCATGCCCAAAATTTATGTTACGTAGCAATCAAGAAAGCAATTATTGCCTTTCACTAATTAAGTGTCACTTTATATTTAAAAAAAGGATAGGTAATGCTTGTGTGCACTCACCGTTACATTCCAGTCTTTTATTCAGCAAAAGGCTTCCCAAATATGGTCCACTAACTTGTACAATTTTGGCCACCATGGCAAACTGAGACAACCGCGGAATATGTTTTAAATCAAACTCGCTTTTTATGTCGAAATCACGTTTCAGTATTTCAGTGTCTCTATATATATATGCGCATATATTCGTATGAGTAAACAGATAAACGAAACAATAAAGCAGAAGTGTAATATAATTAAAATGTAGTTAATACCGGGACTTATACGGAATATCACATCAGACTGAGAACAATCCGTTCACCTGATTATTATTTACGACATAAAGAAAGCAAATGAAAAAATTTAAACATTCTGATACTACAATAGTTAAGGTAGTTCAACCGGGCCTTCCGTAATCATATCAGCAACTAAATAAAATTTATAGAAATAACCTATTTAAGTATATTTTATAGTTCCTAAAGGTCCATTCTAAATATCTGTGAAAGAAGTTTTTAAATCGGAGATTACTTCCTACACATCCAAACATAGAACAAACAGAGTAGCTCAAAACCCCAACGTCAAAACACGACACTGTATAACTAAAGTTTACTTCAGTCCCTGAAGAAGGTAACTTTGTTACCGAAAAGTGCTTCGGACAACTACAGTGTCGTGTTTTGGCGTTAGCGTTTTGAGCTATTCTGTTTGTTCTACAACAACCGCCAAAGTTTTTCCAATCTTCATATNCATCTTTGAAAATTATGGTTTGTTAAATATATATCTGATATGGAAAGATGGGCTTTTTATTAAAGGTCTGTATGGGGGATACAATTCCCCCGGTGAGTTACCATTTACCCCCTTTTCTTTATGCAAAACAGTAACTTCGGTGTTTGTTTCATGTTTTTGCGATGTGTCTGCCTGCTATATGCCGTTTCGGACTGCTATGCGATGACCCGCGTAAGTTAAAGTGGTTTTCTTGAATTCGTAATTAATCCTATTTTTACACATACAAACTTACAAATTTTATTTGATCATAATATCAGTAAATTCGGTATGCAAGGGAAAAAAAGTAGAGAAAGGGCGAATTTCAAAGATTGGAGATGAAAAATTAGAAGAAGTGGCTGATTTTAGGTAGTCAGATAAGTCAGGACGGGAGTTGTAGAGATATAAAGAGGATAGCGCAGGGTGGTGTCGCCTTCAATAAAAAGAAGTCACTTCTATGCTCGCGAACGGTAATTTAATTATTAATTTCATGCGTTAGATAGTCAAACGACTCAGGAAGACAAAATTCAAGTCATTTTAATTAAATTGGCAGGTATTTTTGAAGGCGATCCAATTCAAAACGCATCACTATAAGAAGGAAGCACTAAGTATTTTCAAATTACCTGTAGGTGAACCTTATTATTCTGACCTAAAAATTAGCCCACCTTCATTATCTCAAGCCCTTAATTATTATAAGGAATTGGACAATGAAAATCAGAAATTAGAGATCTAAAGGCAAATGGCAGGTACTTCCAAAAAGCCACACCCACACAACACCATCCCACAAAAGCAACCACAGATAAATTGCTTTGTACCTCGACTAAATTTCAGTCCATTGCAAAGACAACCCTTTACCAACCCTCAAACCTTTCAACAGATTCCTAGACAGCAATTTCCTTTATTAAACAGAAATACTTCGTTCAAGACCTTTCATTGCGCCTAAGCCTCACACAGTTTTCTAACACAAAAATACTCTTCGAAATAATTCTCAAAGACCTCCAAATATTGGCGACGTTTCTATAAAACAACCGTTTTTCAGTTTAGTCGACCCAATAGTTTCCAAAACCAGCAAAGATCTAATTTCCTAGTTGAAGAATGTAAGAAGTACTAAAATTTAGCTTATTCCTTCGACTAATTTATTGACCCGCTATCACAACGGTGACACCAGACGCTTTAAGTTAAAAGAAATCGAAAATGAAATGTATGGGACAAGGCAGAGAAGAGTACCTGCGGGCATACATTTTGTACCCAAACGCTTGAAGCCAGTAAGCTCAGTTAAGGTC